CAATCTTATACAACTTAATATACAATCAAAGGTGAAAGACTTCTACAACAAAAAGTACAGAATGCTAAAGAAAGAAATTAAAGAAGACCTTAGAAGATGGAAAGATCTATATTGCTCTTGGATAGGCAGAATTAATATTGTCAAAATGGCCATACTACCAAAAGCACTATACAGATTTAATGCAATTCCAATCAAAATCCCAATAACATTCCTCATAGAAGTTTTAAAAAGCAGTCATGGAATTCTTCTGGAAAAATAAGAGACCCAGAATAGCTAAAGCAATTCTTAGCAAGAGGAGTGAAGCAGGTGGCATCACTATACCAGACCTTAAACTATACTACAGAGAAATATTAACAAAAACAGCATGGTATTGGCACCAAAATAGACTGGTAGACCAATGGCCCAGAACAGAGGACGCAGAGACTAACCCACACAATTAAAGTTATCTTATATTAGACAAAGTCACCAAAAACATACATTAGAGAAAAGATAGCCTCTTCAACAAATAGTGCTGGGAAAACTGGAAATCCATATACAACAAAATGAAAGTAAGCCCCTTTTACCATGCACAAAACTCAACTCAAAGTGGATCAAGGACCTAGGAAAAACCAGAGACCCTGTGCCTTTTAGAAGATAAAGTAAGCCCAAGTCTCCACCATGTTGGATTAGGCCCTAACTTCCTTAAAAGACTCCTGTAGCGCAAGAATTAAAATCAAGAATCAGTAAATGGGATGGATTCAAACTAAAAAGCTTCTTCTCAGCAAAAGAAACAATCAGTGAGGTGAACAGAGAGCTTACATTTTGGGAACAAATTTTTATCACACACATATCAGTTAGAGCACTAATATCTAGTGTGTGTGTATATATATCAAAAATCTTAACACCAAAACAACAAATAACCCAATAAATAAATGGGCCAAGAAACTGAACAGACACCTCTCAGAAGATATACAATCAACAAATACATGAAAAATATATGAAAAAAAAATGTTCAACATCTCTAGGAATTAGGAAAATGCAAATCAAAACTACTCTAAGATTTTTATCTCATTCCAGTTAGAATGGCAGCAATTAAGAAAACAGATAACAACAAGTGTTGGATGTGGGGGAAAAAGCACATTCATACATTGCTGGTGGGATTGCAAATTGGTGCAACCAATCTGGAAAGCGGTATGGAGTTTCCTTGGAAAACTGGGAAAGGAACCACAATTTGACCCAGCTATCCCACTCCTCAGTTTATACCCAAAGGATTTAAAAACAGCATACTACAGGGGCACAGCCACATCAATGTTTATAGCAGCACAATTCACAATAGCCAAAGTATGGAACCAACCTAGATGCCTTTTAATAGACAATTGGATAAAGAAAATGTGGTATATAAACACAATTGTGGGAAGCCACTCTGAATGATTCATATCTTCCATCCTGGAGTGGAGAGGCTTTGATTGTCACTACATCTTGTAGTGACCTGGACATTGCCCTGGCTGGAAGTTTGGCATCTTCAGACATAGGTGTGTCACCCTATGGATTGAGCTACGCTCACCTGTTCCTTTGTGATATTACCCCTATGTCCTGTTTGGGGTAGAATGTTCCATGGAAACGCCCTTTGTGTGTCCCCTTTTCTTGCTCTGCCTTTGGGTGTGGCCTTCCTAGATGGCAGTCAACCTGCTGACAGCAGACATCACAAAGCTAGACTCAATCCCCTGAAACCTGACCCCTTGCCTCATTTGAATAGCTTCTTCTCAATAAAAGGGTTCAGCACGAGCTTGCTTGCTGTCTTTCTGCAGACCCTTAAGGTCAGAGAAGCTGTCACAGGACCTCAAAGAAAAAAGTATCTCTGTCTCTTGTGTGGTTATTTCATGCAGCCCAGTTCACCTAGAGTGACCCTGAGTGTTTTAGTCATTAGGAACACAACACACAATGGAATATTACTCAGCATTAAAAGAGAATAAAATCATGGCATTTTCAGGTAAATGGATGGAGTTGGAGAATAAAATGTTAAGTGAAGTTAGACTATCCCAAAAAGCCAAATGCTGAATGTTTTTTTCTGATTTAAGGAGGCTGATTCATATTGTGGTGGGACGGGAGCATGGGAGGATTAGATGAACTCTAGACAGGGCAAAGCCCAGGGAGGGGAAGGGAGGGAGGCATGGGGATAGGAAAGATGGAGGAATGAGGTGGACATCATTACCCTAAGTACATGAATAAAGACATAAATGGTGTGACTCTACTTTGTGTACAACCAGAGATATGAAAAATTGTGCTTTCTATATGTGTAATATGAATTGTAGTGCATTCTGCTGTCATTTATAACAAATTAAAATTTAAAAAAATAAAAACACTTCTAGAGTTAATGAGTTTAGCAAGATTGTATGATGTAATAACACAAAAAAATCTAAAATTTTAAAATTATAATTTTAAATTCTAATATTTAAATTATATTTTTAATATTAAATTTTTAAATAATAATATTTTCATTAGCTCCCCCAAAATCAAATATTTGCATACAAAATGTATGTTTAAAACTACTACTGCTAATTAAAGAAATTTTAAAATACCTAAATAAATGGACTTATCATGTTCATATATTTGAAGCCTCAACATCTCCCCAAATAGTCTAATTTAATTCATATTAAAATCCTAAAAATATTTATAGATATATATAAGTATTATCAAAACTTTCTGAAAAAGAATAAAGCTGGAGTACTCAAAATACCCAATTTTAAGAATTAACCACAAAGCTACTAATAAGACAGTGGCTAATGATAAAAACACAACACACCAGAATGAGTGCAGAAATAGAGCCACATAAATATAATCAATTTAGTTTCAAGAGAAGTACAAAGACAATTTATCAAGGAAAGCATCATCATTTAATTGGTATTGGAGTAACTGAACATTGATATGCAAAAAAACTAATAATAGTCTCAGTCTAAACATCACATCTAATACAATCATTCTCTCAAAATGGAATCATGGATCTGAATATAACATGGAAAATTGTTAAACTTTTAGATGAAAACAGGAGAAAATCTTTCTGATCCTGGGTTAAGCACGGTTCTTAAACACAATACCAAAAGCACATCTATAAAAGAAAAAAAAGGACTTCATCAAAATTAAAAACTTTTAGCTCTACAGAGTTTATGGTTAGCAAAGAAAAGAAGTTACAGATCAGAAGAAAACATTAGCATATCATCTAACTAGGTTTGTACCCAAAATATATTAAAAAAAAAAAACAACTAAAAACTCAAGTAAAATGATCCTCAGCATTACATTAAAAAATAAAATAAAGGCATTTTGTCCATCTACAACTAAAAATAAAAATAAAAAAATAAAAAGTTCAAGAAGATAGGGTCTATTTAAGGTTCCTTTTGAAGGTGAAACCAAGGATAAACAAGGATACACCTATCATCTGAGAGAGTAGCATTACACCAATCAGCAGCTGGGTTTGAGCATCTACAATCAACCAACAGATAGGAGGCGGGGCCTGTCTGGTCTCCATGGCAATTTCTGGTGACTCTTGCAAGCTTCTGGGTAGTCCTAGTAATGCCAGATCCAGTTGCCCTGTTGGTCATGTTTAAGGTGAGCAGAGAAGATAAGGAGGAGGGGTATCAGGGAATGATGGGGACAGGAGTTTGTTACATATGGATAGAGAAGTGTTTGGGGAGGGGACAGATTTAGAACAGGGAGGCTGTTCAAAGTGAATAGAGAAAGTTGAAAGAATCAGGAAGCTGGTTGGGGGTAGAAAGAAGTTGTTAGAGGGAAACAGGGCATGAATGTATAAGGGTCAGAAAAGACACTACAGATAAAATTGGGAAAGGAGTTAGGGTTTACAGGTGGTCAAGGAAAATCTTAGAGCAGCCAACTTAAAGGTTGGGTGGAAAAACCAAAGAGTTTATGAGAGAATAAATAGTAAAAGGTTAGGGTAGGATCATGAAGGATTCATAAGGATAGATATTGTAAGAGTGAGAGATATTGTAAAAGGATCAGTAAGAGAGTTATTGTGGACATTAGAAGTTTTATATAGTGAGAGATTTAGAAAGGAACAAATAATTTATAATGAAGGCTTTACAGATTAAATGTTATATTGTGAGAATCTTATACATGGGGGTTTTACAGAGGAAAAGAGGAGGCTTCTTTGAGGATGGCAGCCTTACAGGAACAAAATGCTGTAAGGGATCAGTTGAGGCTTAGGGGAGTTAAGACTCATTAGAGGCAAGGATTTGGGATGGGCCACAATAGAAGGCACCAAATGAGAAACAATGAAGGGAATCTTCAAAGCGATTGTATGGGACGTGGAGGAAATCTTAGAACCCAGGAAAATAGGTTACAAGGAGAGAGAATAATAGGGCCCAGAAGGTGGGGAGTTCTAATGGCCATGAAAGTTTTAAACAAGCATAGAGAGAGGTTAGAAGGGACATAGTGGGAGTTATAGAGAATCAATGAGAATTTTAAAGGTTTTATAGGAACCAAGGAGAAATGCATTAGGGTAAAAAGGGAGGGGATGGGAAGGAATGGCAGGGTCCAGAAGCCATACTCACCCAACCTACTCTCTGCCCCCAGGTGGCTGAATAAATGGTTGATGATGAGATCTTTGAAAACCAAGAAAATGATCCATCCGATGACTACTGTTTCTTAGCACTCTTGTCTATCATTATATGCTGTCCTGTAGGCTTTCTATCCTTAAACTATTCTCTCAAGGTGGGAATCTGCATGATGCCAACTCCCACCCCCACCCCCACCCCGCCTCCTGGCCCTGACCTTGACTCAGCTTCTTCCTCCTCCTTCCTCTTGTGCTGGGAGCCTGAGCTATGGCACCTCCTATAGGTTCAGATCCCCATACTGGTCCTTATACCCCCATAGCTCACCCCTATCCAATAATGCTTTAAGCTCATCTTTTTCCTGTTTGCTCTCCCCTGAACTCAGACAATGCACTACAATCAAAATCAACAATATGACGAGGCAGCCGATGCCTCTATAAGAGCATACTGCTGGGCCATCGCTGGCATTATTTTCGGCCTGGTCCCACTACACGCGTTATTACTCCTATCATTTATGAAGTGAACGCCTTCTCTCCTCATAAGCAAGTCAGCAAATACATACAACAGTGCAACTTAACCTTGTGTTTTAGCCAGTTTTTTCATCATTGTGACCAAAAGAATTGACAAAAACAATATAGAGAAAGAAAAGTTTATTTGGGGTTCACAGTTTTAGAGGTTTCAGTCCATAGAAAGCAGACCCTACCGCTTGGACCCAAGAGGAGAGAGAACACCACAGTGGAAGAGTGTGATCGCAGAAAGCAGCTCAGGACATGGCATTAAGGACATGGCAAAGAGAGGCTCTGTCCCCGAGGAACCCCAGAAATCTGCCTGTCTACAGTTACCACCTAGTTAATCCATTCAAGTGGAGTGGCACACAGATTAGTTAAAGGCTCTCATAACCCTTTCATTTCACGTCTAAACATTCTTGCAGTGTCTAACATGAGCTTTCTGGGTGGACACCTCATATCTAAACTATAACACCTTGGCTGTATATATCTACTTGGGCTGATTAGGACACTTGCTCCTCTGTGTCTGGAGGGGCAAATGATTTGCAATCAGGAAAAAAAAGTGTCCTTCCTACTCCTGCTCACTACTCAAACAGTCTCACTCAGATATGTGGGGAGTTTGCTCCACATATCAACCAGCAAATTTTGACCCCAGATTCTTGAGCAGGTACCAGTTGGGTATCCTATTTTGACTTAAGTCTGACACTATCTACCTGGAACCCACAGTCCTTCCTGGATTCTGGATATTCTTGTTGGAGACCAAGAAAAAAGCTAAGGCCTTGCAGCAAAGAGTCACACACTCCAGCAGTGTCCAACCAATAAGGATGAGGGGTCAGATTGAGACAGAGGAGTTGGGAGGGCAGGAGCTCCCTGGGAGATGAGTTTTATCCCCTGTTGTACATAACTAGACAGGAAGAAAGGGACAGAGGTGAGAGCCTGATGGAGAGACAGGGTGTCATGGGTAAAGCGGGTACAGAGATAATTGGCTCTGCTGCTCAGAGTACACTGGGGACAAGCACAGTACAAGGGAAGAAATAACACTTGACCAGAGCAGACAGGCATTCTGACAAGATGGTGAGGAGATGATTCCATCACACTGAGGAGGGCAAGGAAGGATGTGATGGGGGAATGTCCAGAACATTGAGGTTAATATGGAAGAATAGTAAAGTTGTAATGAGTGAACTGTGCACTGGTTAAACTCTTGCCTGTGCCTGGTGAGACAGACAATGCCATACACGGGTTACATGAAGTAGACATACTGCTCACAGATAGGCAGCAAGGATCAATAGAAGCCTAAGAGTCATTGTGAAACAGTCCCCAAGGCTCAGGAAAGCTGGCCTGGGTAGTGGAGTCCTGTGTGTGTGCCCCAATTGCACCATCGAGGAGGAAGCCCAGAAAGCCTCTGATTCCAGTTTTATAATAGGGGGGCGCATGACTCAAGGGGATAAAGCCCTGAAGAACACCCTGCTCCTAAGAGGTGATAGAAAGAAGCATAGTCTCTCTGGTTAGTTCCTCCTTCTGTTAGGATGGTACAATTGAAACACATGCTACAATTATTCTTGAGAAGGAAAGGCTAGAAAGGAAGAAAACTGGATCAGACCAAAGTTTCTCAGAAACCTTCATATTTCCCTGTCAATAGTGTAGGAACCTTATAGAATATATTTCCATTTTTCTACTCTCAGCCTTTGTGCTATTGTTTCACACATTTTCATCTATGTATGGTATATGTCGTACTACATTTTTTAAAAAATTGTTTTAGTTGTAGTTGAACACAATACCTTTATTTTATTTATTTTTATGTGGTTCTGAGGATCAAACCCAGCACCTTGCATGTGTTAGGTGAGCGTCCACCAATGAGCCATAACCCCAGCCCCACAATTTTCTTCTTTAAACTGATCATTAAACTTTAAAAATATTTTAATAATTTAAAATGTGGATATACTCATTCCCATTCTAGTGGTCTTCATTCCCTTTTACTGATTCAAATCTGACATCTTTTTCCTCCTACTTGGAGAAATATTTGAAATATTTTTTTCATGATGCAGCACCTGTAATATTGATAACAAATTCTTTCAGGGTTTATATGTATGAAAGTGTCTATTATTTCCTCATTTTGGGAAGATATTTTTGCAAAGTTGATTTTTTAGTTTTTCCAGTACTTTCAAGATGTGCTCCACTGCTTTCTTCTTTGCCTTGCTTCCAATTAAAAATGTGCTGTCATTGTCTCTTGTAAACGGCCTTTTCCCTCTGGCTGCTTTTAAGATTTTCTTCTTGTCCCTGGTTTTGAGAATTTGATCACCATATGTAGTGAACTGTTTCTCTTGGGCATGGGATTCATTGGGATACTTGGATTTGGAAGGGTTGTAACTTGCATCTTATCTGGAATATTCTGAATCAATATTTCTCCTAATATCTTTCTGTGTTCCCTTCTCCTTTGGGGATTCCAATTACATGTGTATTAGGCAGGTGGAAGTTCTCCCACAGTTCGCTGATACTTTTTTCAATCTTTTCCTCTCATTATTCTTTTTCAATCTTCTCAGTGTTTCAATTGGAGTAGTTTTTATGTGTTGTTACAGTTTGGATCTAGGAATGGTCCACTGAAATGCTCATGTGTTAGGCAAAGCAGCAGTGTTCAGAGGTGAGAGAGAGGATTCTGAGGGCTGGAACCTCCTCTATGGATTAATTCATTTGAAGTAATAATTTCAATATACTACTTGATGGTACCTGTAGACAGGTGGGCATGACTGGAGGAGATATGTCACTGGAGAATCCACCTTGTCTGGCACCTATTGGCACACGTACTCACTCACTCTTTCCTCCCTGACCTTCATAAACTGAGCAGCTTTCTTCCTCAGCACCCTTCATGAGCCAGCTGCCCATCATGTAATGTCCTTGCTTAGCATCCTGATGGCCATTTTAAGAAAAGTTTCACTTTCCTGCCCAAGAGCGTTTCTGAGAAAGGCTCACCACTCCCTCATACTAACCCCACCCTTAACCACCTGCATTAGGACCCTTCCAGATCTAATCCCTGAGGCTTCTCCATAAAAGTCCCAAACCCCAAGCCTGTTTTGCCTCTTTCCTTCTATGAAAAGATGTGCCTTTATTTGTCAGCTCTGACAATAAATTCTCCTGTGTATCTCTGCCTGGTCTCTGTCTTTCATTGCTCAGTCACTCATCTCTTGGTTCCCCACTTTCCTTTTGCATAGACTGAGACCTCTGAAACCGTGAGAAAGAAAAAAAAAACTTTCCCTCCTTCAATTTGTTCTTATTAGGTATTTTTATCACAGGGATGAAAAGATGAATAACAAGTAAGTCTTCAAGTTCATTAATGTTTTCTTCTGCAAGAATCTTATTCCTATCCATTCTGTTTTTCATTTCAGACTTTGAGTTTTCACCTCCAGAAGTTCAATTGTGAGATATATACGTATTTTTTCTTTCATGCCTCTACATAATAGTTTAATATTCTCTAGTATTTTGTTCTTGTGGAATAGAGTTATAAGAGATGTTTTAATAATTCTGCCTATCAATTCTATCATCTGTGTTCAATCTGGCTCAGTTTTGATTTATTGATTTTTTTCATCATTATGAGCCATATTTCCCTACTTTATATATAACTTATAATTTTTTTACTGATGCCTTTTTTTTTGGTGCCTGGGGATTTATCAGGACCTCCTACATGCCAGGCAAAAGTTCCACCACTGAGCGTCATCCCAGTTCTGATGACACATATTGTTAATTTTACACTGTTAGGTTCTGGAGCCTTCATAGTTCTATGAATATTCTTGAGATTTTTCTGGAATGAAGTTAAGTAATAGCATGATCCTTCAAGGTCTTTCTTTTAAGCTTCTTTAGTCACTGTCAAAGAAGGATTTAGTCTAGGGTTAATCTTTCCCTGCTACTGAAGGAAGACTCTCCTCCTAACCAATAAGGTTTTCCAGTTTGGAAGATGAAATTATCTATGTTGCTTGACTCACTATGAGCTTGGCAGGTTGTTCCATTAACCATTTTCAGATGTCTCTTCCTCTACCCACAGTCAGTTTTCTCCCTCGCATGCATGTATCATTACATCTCTGCTGAATACTGGTGGGAAATCCTTTGAAGACCTCTGAAGTTCTCTTCCTGGCCTGTTTTCTCCTCTTCAGGACCACACCCTATGAACTCAAGCTATCCTACTTCTCTGCACTCCTAATTCCATTTCCTCAATTTGAGGAAAATGTGGGCTTACTCAGTCCCTGCTCCTTACACTGAAGCCTAGAAACTTACACCTGTCCACTTCCCTTCTTAGGAGACACTATCCTTGACTACCTACCATCCATAGTCTTTAACATTGTTGTTCCATACATTTTAAATTTGTTCAGATGATTTAATTTGATCCCTGGTATTCCATTATGACCAGACATGGAAGTTACGATTAATTTTTTAATCAGTTTTATTATACAACCCTTGATCCCTCATCTGCAATTATATTTTGGTAATTTAAGAGATATTCAACAACCTTACTATAAAATGGGTACAACCACAAGAAAAGCATATAAGTGAATCAGATATCAGAACAACCAGACTAGAGCAGATAGGCTAAAGTTTGCATGAGGTCACTGTGAGGTGATGGGTTCAGGGTGTCCTTGAAAGTCAGCCCAAGGTGTATGGAAAGCTGAAAGGGCATCTATTTATCAACTCTTTAACAGTATGAGGAGGACTTTCTCTTAGTAGATGAAGGCCTCCCAGGCATAGGGGAGAAAATCAGATAGTAGCCCACTAAGAATGACAAGAGTCTACTATGACCACATTCTCTCCCATCAAGTAAATTTAAACATGCACTCATATAACACATGAAATATAATACATAGAGCCAGTTTGTTTAAAAAATAGTTTGTTGAGCTTGGGATGTAGCTCAGTGGATGAGTACTTGCCTAGCAATCTGGTTTAATTCCCAGAATCACAAAAGAATAAATAATAAAAAGTTTCTCTATAAATTAGTGTTATGCTCTGTCAAAACTCACCAACATGCTGGTAATGAACCAAAAAGGAAACACAAGTATGCCACTTCATACTGTATGACTAATACCCTTCA